GTTCGTAGGGGAAATGGTGTTAGTTTTTGTCCATTGAGTATGATGCTGGCTGTGGGCCTGTCATATATGGTTTTTATTATGTTGAGGTATGATCCTTCAACTCCCACCTATATATATATATAAAAAAAAAATGGGTGTTGAATTTTGTCAAATGTTTTTTATGCATCAATTGATATGACCATGTGGTTTTTTTTCTTTCAATTTGTTTATGTGATGTATCACGTTTATTGATTTGCGGATATTGTACCATCCTTGCATCCCTGGGATAAATCCTACTTGGTCATGGTGTATGATCTTTCTGATGTACTGCTCCTCTGACAAATTTCTTGCTCCATTTTGTTTACTTCCTTTTCTGGTGATTCCGCCTTTTCTTTCTTATGGGGACTGTTTCTTTGTTGCCCCATTTTCACTCCTCTCAGGGAGTCTGGTTATATGGTTCTCTCTCTGCTGCATTGACTTAAAGGCACAAAATGCAACTCAACAAGACACAACACAAAGGGCACAAAACACGAATGTACTCAAAATACCAATAACCCCAAATAACGGTACCCACCAGAGAAAAGAGAATTAGAGGAGAGATAGTGCTAAAATGATATTGAGGAAAGGAAAAAAAGGTAGTGCAGAAATGAAAAAGAAGAAAAAAAATAGGTGAAAAATATATGTATATGGGTAGAAAATTAAAAAAAACAAAACAACAAAAAACAAACAAACAACTAGTCCATGAACTGCAAACAACAAACACCCAGAAAAAAAGGAGGAAAGCTGAATCTGAAGAGGCAGAGCTTATTTCCAGAAGGTAAGGTAAAAAAAAATTGAACAAGTGGGAAAATGGCCACAATTCAGCATAGAGGAGGTAGAAAGAGAATGAGTGTATAAGAAGAAAATTAAAACACACACACACACACACACACACACACACACACACTCTCAAAGGGGAGCGGGAATCCAGAAACAAGAGGTGGGGTGAGACATGGCCTCCCTTCTTAGTATATATAATATATATATAATTTTCCCTTTCTTTAATCTATTTATGTATTCATCTATTTTTGGAAAAGGAGACTAGAGAGCAGATAGGCCTGATTTGGTGATTTAAACTAAGTAAGCTATTAATAGAAGAAAAGAACAAGCAAGAAGAGGAAAAACAAACACATAAAATAAAAAACAAGCTAATAAACAAGAAAAGAAACAACAACAATAAGAACAAAAGAAAAAAAATGGCTAGTGAAGAAATAGAAAAGAGAAGTGTGTATGTAATTGGAGCAGGGGAGACGAAATTAGACATATGAATAAGCCAACAGAGACTACTTTAATAGTAATGCATCAATAAAGCAGATAACGAAGATCAATTGTTAACAGGGAGTAAAAAGACGGGATAGAGAAAAACTAAAGCAGCAACAGGAGAAGAGATACATGATGAAAAAGGAAACAGTGTGGAAGGAAGTGTTGGCATAAAGGAAAACATGAGGTAGAGTAAAATAATGATAAAAATATAAATAGAATGTAGAAGACTAATCAAAAATGTTTTAGAAAATGGTAAAAAAATAATAATAAATAAAAAATAATAAAATAAAATAAAGTGAGAAAAAAATAGTTTCTTAAGTAAAAGACAAAAAATAAAAAATTGAAGTAGTAAAGTTCATTCGCTTCAGGGCAGCTTCAATGTCCCATGGGGCCTGGTTTAAGACCCCTCTCTACTGTGCGGCCTTTCATGTTTCAGTTTACTGGTAGGTAGTCAGCACTGTGCTGAAGTTCCCAGAGATCTACTGCTCCTCTGTGTCATGTACCACAACCTTGATTTCAAGCAGAGGGATCAATCTTCCCATTTTGTTTATCTGCCTGCTTTCAGTTGTATTTACACAAGTGTCTATTTATGACACAGCTCCTAGGTTGTGGTGTTTCTGTATTACTTTCCCAGGACCAAATGGCCCCTCTACCCAGTCCTGCATGACTCCTGGGGGTATTTAGAATCTTCTTTTCCCTGTCATGCTCAAGACTGGGTGCAGCTGTGCTGCTAGGAGGAGCCTGGTCTTCAGGAGAAAAATGTCTGTTCAGGGTTGGAGGGATGGACTGTCCCAGAGCTGGCTTTCTGCTCATCTCTCCCTATTCTGCTCCCCAGTTTCCACAAAAATCACCTTCCCCTGCAGTCTCGGTGAGTGTTTTAAATTGAAGAACCTAAATGCTGGGTTTAGCAAGTGGACAAGCAAGGAAGTTATAAAGACAAAGCAACCGCACCGCCTCGTGTCTTTCTCCCCTGGCATTGTGCAGCCGGTATAGAATTTCAGGCTGCCTCCCAAGGCTATGCGCTTAGATCTAGAGCCCCCCTGCCAGCAGCCCTCTGGACCCCATTCCACATTTAAGAGCTACACTGACCCAAGGGATGCGATTTTGGTGCAGTGCAGTCTCCCTCTGAGACTAGTTCCGGCTGCACAAGTTTCTCCCTCCAGCCTCGATCCCAGATCTCACCTCTCTCCAGGTGATCTCTGGCCTTTCCATCCATGGATGGCCTCACCAGCTGTGTTTAATTCACCAATTCTGGGCGGATGTTATTCAATTCAGTTATTCCTTCTATCTGTTCTGTGAGAAGGCACAGGACCTGTCTGCCTATTTTGCTGCCACCTTGTCTCCCCTTGGACGAAAGTTTTAGGCACCTGCAGCCAGGGAGGTTGGAATCTCAGTGTCTGTAGGTTCACATCTGAAGCACCTAGTCCCTACGTGATGTGGTTGTAGGGCCCTGGGTGGTATCTGAGGTCTCCCCAGGTGGAGGTGAGGCTGGACTTCTGATCACAGTTGCTCTCCCCTTCAAGATGGTGTGTTTTCTGCAGCAGAGCCGGCCGCTCCAGGAGAGATTGCGGCGGTAGTAGAGTCTGCCCAGTGAGGGGAGCCTGGTTCGCCAGCCCCCAACAGTCCTGTCGAATATAACTGCCCCCGCCACACACACACACACACACGCACGCCCCACACGTCCACACTCTCCTTTTGCTCTCTCACTCACTCACACTATCTTGCTCACTGTTGTCCTTTTGGCCACCATCTTGGATATTGTCGATTGCGGCGGTAGTAGAGTCTGCCCAGTGAGGGGAGCCTGGTTCGCCAGCCCCCAACAGTCCTGTCGAATATAACTGCCCCCGCCACACACACACACACACACGCACGCCCCACACGTCCACACTCTCCTTTTGCTCTCTCACTCACTCACACTATCTGGCTCACTGTTGTGCTTTTGGCCACCATCTTGGATATTGTTTATTCTTTATACTACATACTGATGACAGTTACTAGCTTAGATCATCATGTGAAGTGCTAACACTTTACTAAAAAAACAAAAAAAACACAAATAAAATTATAATAAATGAGGTAATTCCAGAGCCTGTACAATACAATTCAATGGCATAATATTTATGGTCCTTCATCTTATCTTTTGGCTCTTATCTCCCTTACAGATTCCTCCATGCACTTTAAAGAGCCCAGCCAAAGTAGAAGAGCATCACACTCCATGTTTAAATACTCTCTTCTTATTGGCTGTGCTACTTCTGAGGTTTGAAGTGTACTCCTACCCCATTTATGCTTACTGATATACTACTTATTTTTAAAATATGAATTCTCAGAACACTCTACTTCTGAAAGGATTCTCCCATAATCATAGTGAATATAAATTGAACCTCACATTTGAACCAATCTATCCTGCTTTATGACTCTGTTATAATCATGCAGCACCATTTGCATTATAAATTGTAGTCTCTAGTGAACTTAAGTTTCTCAAAGATATACCTTGTTTCTAGGAAACTGATTACAAAGTGTTTGGTAAATTGACTTTAGTTATTAAATAATCTGTATTTTAAAGAATAACATTCTACATAAATAATTAGGGTGTAGTTCAATATGAAAACACAAGGCTAAATTTTAGCTATGTTTTACAATAACATGTTAGAAGCGTATAGTTTTCCTCCTATTTATTGATTTAATTCTCAATAATTAATGTTTACGCATAAAATAATTTTGTTAGTGGATTAGCAATGTTTTTATATTTATTGAAAATTTAAAAATGTATTTATATTAAAGTTGTCTTTAGGTTTATTAATAATGTGTTATCTACCTCAAGTATTGTTAATCAGTACTGATTATGACATCTCGTATATGTCTGAATTAGGCTATAGTGTCACATAGGTATAACGAGGGTGGCCTATAAAATCCAGACTCTATGCTCAACAATGTTTGACTTATTTTAAAAATCAAAGTAATAATTTTTTGTACTATAATGTTTCATCTCTGTGAATTATTTTCATAAACAGAACAAGCAGTATTATTAAGGCCTTTGTGACTATATATCAGATATAAGAAACACTAACTAAACTTACTAAAGCTCTATTTATTGCCACAAGCACTATTTTATTGTCTAAGTTTATGATTGCAGGTATGAGGCAGCTCCATTTAGTTACTCTGCACATGATATGAACAATATTACAACTAGATTATATCTGTCATAATGAAAGCCATATATTTTTCTCCTTGTAATTCATTCACAGTTATCCAGATCCATAATCCTCTAGGGAGTGTCATGAATCCCACATAATGTTCCCAAATGCTAGATACTGCATTTGTATATGTGATTTAACTGACAGATGTGTAATATCACATGCAGCCAAATAACTTCAAAATGACTGCCACTGTGAATCCTAAAATTTGCTAGTTATTCTAGCTGGTAAAGATGTACAATATAATCAGAATAATCCAATTCCAACTTAATCACCTATTTTAATTGCACATGTGCTTAAAAATTTAGCAACAGTCAAATAAATAAACTGCTTTTGAATATTTGTAAAATAACACACAGAGACAATAAATAAAAAATAATTATGTTTTTATTGTTCTTCTTTAGTGATTAAAAACGCTATAATTCTTAATGCAGTGCAGCAATTACTGGTTTATATAGCAGTAGGTAGATATCAAGATGGCTATCCACTTTCCCTAATAGTATAAGCGGCAGGGAGATTGAGGTATGGATTACATAGGAAACATATGGATAGATGAAAATTATTGGTCATGTTCAATTTCTTGGGTTGTTGGTGTATTCCTCTTGTTTACTGCATAGTACTTTATAAGTCATGCATACACATGTACCTAATTTTGCATAGCTTAAATATTATATTTAAAACTTACATGAGAGAAAAGTAACAGGGAGACAGTGATTTCTTTGCTCCTCTACCATGCAAGTCACTGAACTTAGTGTGTGTACTTTGCTGAAGAATTAAGGGGTGTTGGGTGGCTGCATCTACCCAATCATTTGCATCTTTGTGTTGCTTGTTTATTGATTTGACGAAAACTTAATTAAGATAAACTGTAGACAGAGTTGACCCATAATTCCCACTGACCAGACCTGGTGGGCTCACCTTATCCTATTATCTATTGTAAAACTTAGTACCTTAAGACAGTAGCAACTTTATTAAATTGTATTATTTTGAGGATCAAGAATTTGGTCAGGCAACTATTGGGGAATTATGCTTTTTGGGTCATCAATTAAAGCTACACACTTATATTCAGCTGGCAGGAGTGCTGCTCTGTAGGATACAAGATTTTTCACAACTGGCATGTCTGGTCCCTTTGGCCTCTGTCTCACGAGGGCCTTAAAATGGTCAGTCTCATGAGAGGGCTCAGTCTTCCAAAGGTAAATTTTTCTAGAGAGCATGATGGGGAGCTGCACAGCTTTCCTCACCTCAGGAGGCATGTGGCTGTGTTCTATTAGGAGAAGAGGGTCTTTGTTTGTGCAGGGATAAGGGCATAGACCCACATCTCTGTGGGATGAATGTCACAGAATTGGCAGCCTTGTTTTTAAACAACCACAGTCACACCCATATAGCATTCCATTTTGTGTCATCATTTTATAGATCCCACATATCCCATATCCACATACCTGTTCAGTCGCTTGCTGGAAGTTAATTCCAACAGGGCATAATAAAATGCAAGAAGTCCTCAAAAGGTTGATGG